TTCTGGTTCTGGTCCAGGTTCTGGTTCTGGTTCTGGTTCTGGTCCAGGTTCTGGTTCTGGTTCAGGTTCTGGTTCTGGTTCTGGTTCTGGTCCAGGTTCTGGTTATGGTTCTGGTCCAGGTTCTGGTTCTGGTTCTGGTCCTGGTTCTGGTTCTGGTTCTGGTTCTGGTCCTGGTTCTGGTTCTGGTTCTGGTCCTGGTTCTGGTTCTGGTTCTGGTTCTGGTTCTGGTTCTGGTTCTGGTTCTGGTCCTGGTCCTGGTTCTGGTTCTGGTTCTGGTCCTGGTTCTGGTCCTGGTTCTGGTTCTGGTTCTGGTCCAGGTTCTGGTTCTGGTTCTGGTTCTGGTTCTGGTCCAGGTCCTGGTTCTGGTTCTGGTTCTGGTTCAGGTTCTGGTTCTGGTTCTGGTTCTGGTTCTGGTCCTGGTTCTGGTTCTGGTTCTGGTTCTGGTCCAGGTTCTGGTTCTGGTTCTGGTCCAGGTTCTGGTTCTGGTTCTGGTTCTGGTCCTGGTTCTGGTTCTGGTTCTGGTCCTGGTTCTGGTTCTGGTTCTGGTTCTGGTTCTGGTTCTGGTTCTGGTCCTGGTTCTGGTTCTGGTTCTGGTTCTGGTTCTGGTTCTGGTTCTGGTCCTGGTTCTGGTTCTGGTTCTGGTTCTGGTCCTGGTTCTGGTTCTGGTTCTGGTCCTGGTTCTGGTTCTGGTTCTGGTTCTGGTTCTGGTTCTGGTTCTGGTTCTGGTCCAGGTCCTGGTTCTGGTTCTGGTTCTGGTCCAGGTTCTGGTCCTGGTTCTGGTTCTGGTTCTGGTCCTGGTTCTGGTTCTGGTTCTGGTTCTGGTTCTGGTTCTGGTCCTGGTTCTGGTTCTGGTTCTGGTTCAGGTTCTGGTTCTGGTTCTGGTTCTGGTTCTGGTCCTGGTTCTGGTTCTGGTTCTGGTTCTGGTCCAGGTTCTGGTTCTGGTTCTGGTCCAGGTTCTGGTTCTGGTTCTGGTTCTGGTTCTGGTCCAGGTCCAGGTTCTGGTTCTGGTTCTGGTCCAGGTTCTGGTTCTGGTTCTGGTTCTGGTCCAGGTTCTGGTTCTGGTTCTGGTCCTGGTTCTGGTTCTGGTTCTGGTCCTGGTTTGGTTCTGGTTCTGGTCCAGGTTCTGGTTCTGGTTCTGGTTCTGGTTCTGGTCCAGGTCCAGGTTCTGGTTCTGGTTCTGGTCCAGGTTCTGGTTCTGGTTCTGGTTCTGGTCCAGGTTCTGGTTCTGGTTCAGGTTCTGGTTCTGGTTCTGGTTCTGGTCCAGGTTCTGGTTATGGTTCTGGTCCAGGTTCTGGTTCTGGTTCTGGTCCAGGTTCTGGTTCTGGTTCTGGTTCTGGTTCTGGTTCTGGTCCAGGTCCAGGTTCTGGTTCTGGTTCTGGTCCAGGTTCTGGTTCTGGTTCTGGTTCTGGTCCAGGTTCTGGTTCTGGTTCAGGTTCTGGTTCTGGTTCTGGTTCTGGTCCAGGTTCTGGTTATGGTTCTGGTCCAGGTTCTGGTTCTGGTTCTGGTCCAGGTTCTGGTTCTGGTTCTGGTTCTGGTCCTGGTTCTGGTTCTGGTTCTGGTCCAGGTTCTGGTTCTGGTTCTGGTTCTGGTTCTGGTTCTGGTTCTGGTCCAGGTCCTGGTTCTGGTTCTGGTTCTGGTCCAGGTTCTGGTTCTGGTTCTGGTTCTGGTTCTGGTCCTGGTCCTGGTTCTGGTTCTGGTTCTGGTCCAGGTTCTGGTTCTGGTTCTGGTTCTGGTTCTGGTCCTGGTTCTGGTTCTGGTTCTGGTTCTGGTCCAGGTTCTGGTTCTGGTTCTGGTCCAGGTTGGTTCTGGTTCTGGTTCTGGTCCAGGTCCAGGTTCTGGTTCTGGTTCTGGTCCAGGTTCTGGTTCTGGTTCTGGTTCTGGTCCAGGTTCTGGTTCTGGTTCTGGTCCTGGTTCTGGTTCTGGTTCTGGTTCTGGTCCAGGTTCTGGTTCTGGTTCTGATCCAGGATCTGGTTCTGGTTCTGGTTCTGGTTCTGATCCAGGTTCTGGTTCTGGTTCTGGTTCTGGTTCAGGTTCTGGTTCTGGTTCTGGTTCTGATCCAGGTTCTGGTTCTGGTTCAGGTTCTGGTTCTGGTTCTGGTTCTGGTCCAGGTTCTGGTTCTGGTTCTGGTCCAGGTTCTGGTTCTGGTTCTGGTTCTGGTCCTGGTTCTGGTCCTGCATGCAGTGAGATGCAGGCAATGACTCTGAACCCTCTGCTCTGTTCCCAGTGGTATACCCAAGAGCGTTCCCAGTGGCGTTCCAGCAGCGTTCCCAGTGGCGTTCCAGCAGCGTTCCCAGTGGCGTTCCAGCAGCGTTCCCAGTGGCGTTCCAGCAGCGTTCCAGCGCTGTTCCCAGCAGCGTTCCCAGCAGCGTTCCCAGTGGCGTTCCCAGCAGCGTTCCCAGTGGCGTTCCCAGTGGCGTTCCAGCAGCGTTCCCAGTGGCGTTCCAGCAGCGTTCCCAGTGGCGTTCCAGCAGCGTTCCCAGTGGCGTTCCAGCAGCGTTCCAGCGCTGTTCCCAGCAGCGTTCCCAGCAGCGTTCCCAGTGGCGTTCCCAGTGGCGTTCCCAGTGGCGTTCCCAGCAGCGTTCCAGCAGCGTTCCAGCAGCCCTCTTCGAGAGCTCTTGGTCCTGAAAGGAGAAGGAAAACATCGTTCCCGCAGTGAAAAGCCATTAAAGGAATATTTTCTCTGGGTGTGTGCGGCCCGGCCGGCCCCCCGCTGCGGAGCGCGGCTCAATGGGCTCTAAAGGAGGGCCTAATTAATCTAAGTACGGCCCCAAAGGGCCCACTTGGAGGTTTTCTCTCCCTTTATCTGGGCGGGAGGCAGATAAAGAAAGGCAGTAAGAAAAGAGCGAGAGGATCAGGCCTCCATCTTTTCTGGATGGGGGTGTTGGCCCCCCCGCTCCCCCAGCACAAACCAGCAGCACATTTTCCATTTTCACATGTTTCTGCAGCAGCGGGGGCCGCGGGGCCAGAGGGCCGCTGCTGTCAGGTGCAGGGGTGGCTGCGGCTCAACAATGGCAGCAGAAGGCTTTGGATGAATGCTGCGGGTGAATCAGTAATGGAGCTAAAGGCCAGGCGCCTGGGGGGAATCCGCCGCCGCATAAAGGAGCTTTAAGAGCTTCATTCATTCGCCCAAAGAGATTTGAATTGCCCCCTTCACAATCACTTGAAAGGATGAGCTCAGGGTGTTCCGAAACAAAGTGGAAATCACTCTGCCTTTCAGCGCCTCTAATAAGCTTTTAACTATTTTACATCACGCCGCTTCGCCACGCCGCCATTGTGGCCGGCCGCCCGGCTACCGCCTGATTTACACTTTACTTCACGCTGAATTTCTCCACAAGCTGAAAGAGAAATCTCTGTGAAAGCTTCATTATGACGGCCGGAGCGGCTCTGGACTCAGCAGAACCGGGCCGGGACTGCAGAGCCAGGACGGTTCTGACCCGTGACTCCTGGTTCTGGATGGTTCTGGTCCAGAGCAGAAGATAATTGAATGGAGAACAATTAAAGATGGCCGCCATGGTTGTCTAGGAAAGTGTGTTTTCATACTAAGCTAATTTTCATCACAGATTAATAATTTCTGTGTAAAATAATTTTAAATCATATTTACTGATCATTTTTTATTTTTCAAAGTGGCTGCAATGGAGAATGTGTGCAGAAGCACAGCTAGCTAAAAAGTTAGCTGTGCTAACATTATCCGCTAATTCACTAAACAAAAATCTTAGTAACGCTAAACTAACTGCGACACAGCAACGCGTCTTTTCTCAGTCACCAGTAACCAGATTAAAGTTACTGATGAAAATCACTTCGTGTTACTATTTTTCCTCTGAGTCTCGATTAGCGAGCGCCGTTTCTGTGCAACGGGAACAACGGAGGGACGAGGAAAACCAGGAACTATTTCAGTTTCTGTCGCAAAGAGCGATTTTTAGAAGCTCCTTCAGGCTTGTTGTTTCTAAAGTTGCTTGCAGATTTAATAAGCAGACATAAACCCCAGAATGCGTCAATACATGACCTGTGAGCGGCGCTGAGCTTCGCGCTGCGCTCCAGAAAACATGGAGGCTCGAATATTCTGTGAGATCCAGCCACAGGAAGAACCTGATCCAGACAGAACCAGAAACCCAATGAAAGCTTCAAGGACCGAACTTGAACTGGACATTACGCTGCTAATCTTAGCATCAACTCATTGATGGACCTGAGAACATCATGCAAAATAAATAATCACCCAGCTGAAACATAGTGCAATAAATAGTAAAACATGATTCAGTGAAGCTTTGAGGCAGATAATTTGCCTCAATAAAATCTTAGTACTTGAATCATTCAGGGAATTGTGACGTCAATAGATTAGGAATAAATCTTACCTGCATCTTCCTTGACCAACACCTGGATCAACTGAAAACATTTTTCTGCAGAATAAATAGCAAAATCACATGATGTACATAAAAATATTGAGGCATTAAGCATCACACAGATTCTAAAATATTAGACACTCACACAGTTGCATCTCTGTCCTCATCATGGACATCAGAAGAGTTTTGATCAACATCCATGTGACCCTGAACTGGGACGTGTCTGGAAATACACGTAAAATGATAAATATACACAAATAAACAAATTCAAGTTATTCTCTTTCACTGAGTGCATAAGACAAGCAGCCATTGATCAATGAGGATCAGAGCAGTGGATGAACATGATGCATCCCTCCGTTCTCACATTGAAGATCCTGTCCGCCATCTTGTCTTCTGCTTACCAAACTTGCTGGACTGCATTATAACAAGAGACACACGATCAGTTTTACTTACACATATCTGAGTGTTCAGCACTACATGTGAAGAAATCATAACTCTCTGAATTTCACTTCCAGAAGAGCGCAGCGCGGGCGAGGCCGTTCATTTTCACACCTGAAAAAGCAAAAAGATGCGAGTATTTATAGTATTATTACATCTGAGTTCATAACATCAGATGTAATAAAAATACAATCAGTAATATAACTCTGTAAAATAGTACTTTTTTCACCATTTCACACAAAGCACAGACATTTTGGTTCACGTTGGATTCAATCAGTGGACAGTTTGATTTACTTGGAGTTATATTGTGTTGTTTGAGTGTTCCCTTTATTTTTTGTTTTTCAATTTAAACTCGAGTTAAGCAACTCGGGCGGCACAGTGGCGCAGTGGGTAGCGCTGTTGCCTTGCAGCAAGAAGGTCCTGGGTTCGATTCCCGGCCCGGGGAATGCTGGGTTCTCTCCGGGTTCTCCGGCTTCCTCCAACAGTCCACAAACATGACAGTTGGGTTGATTGGTCTTTCCACATTCTCCCTAGAACGACCCGTCCGGAACGCAGCTGGAGAGGCAGCAGCTCCTCCCGACCCCGTTAGGGAGAAGGCTGATCAGATGACGGATGTGTTGCAGACTCTGGGTCTGGATCAGCAGTGTTTCAGTGAATCTTGCATGAAACCTCCATGAGGCGGAGCAGCTGGTAGAACCCGGCCTTTGGTGGAACCCGGGCCTTTGGTGGAACCCGGGCCTTTGGTGGAACCCGGGCCTTTGGTGGAACCCGGGCCTTTGGTGGAACCCGGGCCTTTGGTGGAACCCGGCCTCTGATGGAACCCGGGCCTGGTGGAACCCGGGCCTTTGGTGGAACCCGGGCCTTTGGTGGAACCCGGGCCTTTGGTGGAACCCGGCCTCTGGTGGAACCCGGCCTCTGGTGGAATCCGGGCTTCTGGTGGAACCCGGGCCTCTGGTAGAACCCGGGCCTGGTGGAACCCGGCCTCTGGTAGAACCCGGGCCTGGTGGAACCCGGGCCTTTGGTGGAACCCGGGCCTCTGGTAGAACCGGGCCTGGTGGAACCCGGGCCTGGTGGAACCCGGGCCTCTGGTGGAACCCGGGCCTCTGGTGGAACCCGGGCCTTTGGTGGAACCCGGGCCTCTGGTAGAACCCGGGCCTTTGGTGGAACCCGGCCTCTGGTGGAACCCGGGCCTCTGGTGGAACCCGGTCCTCTGGTAGAACCCGGCCTCTGGTGGAACCCGGGCCTCTGGTGGAACCCGGGCCTCTGGTAGAACCCGGGCCTTTGGTGGAACCCGGGCCTTTGGTGGAACCCGGGCCTCTGGTAGAACCCGGGCCTCTGGTGGAACCCGGGCCTGGTGGAACCCGGCCTCTGGTGGAACCCGGGCCTCTGGTGGAACCCGGCCTCTGGTGGAACCCGGGCCTTTGGTGGAACCCGGCCTCTGGTGGAACCCGGGCCTCTGGTGGAACCCGGGCCTCTGGTGGAACCCGGGCCTGGTGGAACCCGGCCTCTGGTGGAACCCGGGCCTCTGGTGGAACCCGGCCTCTGGTGGAATCCGGGCTTCTGGTGGAACCCGGGCCTCTGGTAGAACCCGGGCCTGGTGGAACCCGGCCTCTGGTGGAACCCGGGCCTCTGGTGGAACCCGGGCCTTGGTGGAACCCGGGCCTTTGGTGGAACCCGGGCCTTTGGTGGAACCCGGGCCTTTGGTGGAACCCGGGCCTTTGGTGGAACCCGGCCTCTGGTGGACCCGGGCCTCTGGTGGAACCCGGCCTCTGGTAGAACCGGGCCTTTGGTGGAACCCGGGCCTTTGGTGGAACCCGGGCCTCTGGTAGAACCCGGGCCTGGTGGAACCCGGGCCTGGTGGAACCCGGGCCTTTGGTGGAACCCGGCCTCTGATGGAACCCGGGCTTCTGGTGGAACCCGGGCCTGGTAGAACCCGGGCCTGGTGGAACCCGGCCTTTGGAAGCAGCGTTCCAACAATCAATAAAACTCTCGCCTGAGTGTTTCAGTGGAAACCAGGAATGTCTGGATTTAAAGATCTCAGCAGCTTTGCAGTTTTCTGGAAGTTTATTCCAGATCTGTGGAGAATAGAAGCTGCTTCTCCCTGTGGATCCACGCCGAGGCTTGGTTTCCACAGCAACATGCTGCTCTGGGTTCTGCTGGTTCTGAGCGGCCCAACAGAACCTGGAGGAATGTGTTGGGGAAGTTCTGGTTCTGGTTCTTTGCAGCTTTGGACCACATTGTGTGGCTGGCGGCCCTCGTTGTCATGGAAATGGTTTATCGCTCTGGAAATTGTTCCGTCTTTTCGGAGCGGCGGAGGTCAAAGGTCGACCCGGGACACAAGCGGGCTGACCTGAACTCTGAAGCCGTCCAGCAGCGGGTTGGGAGGGGCAGCCAGAAGCCCCTCGCTCTCCGGACGACTCGGCGCTGCAACGAGGAGAATGAGCATGTAAGACCGGGGGGTTGAAAGGCAGCGTTGACCTCTGACCCCGACAACACCCCCACCACCTCGGTGAGGAGGAGGAGGAGGAGGATGAAGGTCATGGAAGCAACAAAGTCCTCAGATCAGAGAATCGTCAGCTGATGGATTTTATGGCAGCTCATTATTGCCGTCGGGGGCTTGCCGTACCGGTTCCCCGACCAACGGCTGTTGGTTTGGCAGAGTGCCTTGCTCAAGGGTCACCGAGCTCTCAGCCTAACGATGCCGGGCATAAACTGGCCCTGAAGTTATCTCAATAAACGATAATCTTATTTATTAGGAGATTATTGATCTTTAAGAAACAGGTTCTCAAAGATCAATGAACTTTAGACTCTAAGGAATATTTAACACTTCAAGATATTTTAAATATTCAAAATAAACAAGAGAAAGAAAGAATGAATGAATGAATGATTGAATGAATAAATGATTGAATAAATGAATGAATAAATGAATAAATGAATGAATGAATGAATAAATGAATGAATGAATAAATGATTGAATAAATGAATGAATAAATGATTGAATAAATGAATGAATGAATAAATGATTGAATGAATGAATAAATGAATGAATGAATAAATGATTGAATAAATGAATGAATGAATAAATGAATGAATAAATGATTGAATGAATGAATAAATGATTGAATGAATAAATGAATGAATGAATAAATGAATGAATAAATGATTGAATGAATGAATAAATGATTGAATGAATGAATGAATAAATGATTGAATGAATAAATGAATGAATAAATGAATGAATGAATAAATGAATGAATAAATGAATGAATAAATGAATGAATGAATGAATGAATAAATAAATGAATGAATAAATGATTGAATGAATGAATGAATAAATGAATGAATAAATGATTGAATGAATGAATGAATGAATGAATAAATGAATGAATAAATGAATGAATAATTGAATGAATAAATGATTGAATAAATGAAGGAATAAATGAATAAATGATTGAATAAATGATTGAATGAATGAATGAATAAATAAATGAATGAATAAATGAATGAATAAATAAATAAATGATTGAATAAATGAATGAATAAATGAATGAATAAATAAATAAATGATTGAATAAATGAATGAATAAATGATTGAATAAATGATTGAATGAATGAATGAATAAATGATGAATAAATAAATGAATGAATAAATGATTGAATAAATGAATGAATGATTGAATGAATGAATAAATGAATGAATGAATAAATGATTGAATAAATAAATGAATGAATAAATGATTGAATGAATGAATGAATGAATGAATGAATAAATGAATGAATAAATGAATGAATGAATGAATGAATGAATGAATAAATAAATGAATGAATAAATGATTGAATGAATGAATGAATAAATAAATGAATGAATAAATGATTGAATGAATGAATGAATGAATGAATAAATAAATGAATGAATAAATGATTGAATGAATGAATGAATAAATAAATGAATGAATAAATGATTGAATGAATGAATGAATGAATAAATGAATGAATAAATGATTGAATAAATGAATGAATAAATGAATGAATAAATAAATGAATGAATGAATAAATGAATGAATGATTGAATGAATGAATAAATGAATGAGTGAATGAATGAATAAATGATTGAATAAATAAATGAATGAATGAATGAATTGAATAATTGAATGAATGAATGAATGAATGAATGAATGAATGAATGAATGAACAAACTCTGGAGATAAAGTTAAAAAAATAATCAGCTGGATGAGACTGAAAACTTTTAACTTTGGTAGAAAGAGAAAATGATTAATAAAAAAATAGAAATTATTGATCTGGTTTTAATTAATCATTAATTTATTTATTGATTATGCAGATCTCGTTACCGGTCCGCTGTGACCCATCAACCCATGGTACCAGAACCAGTTTGAAATGCAGAACTCAGTAAGACTGGCTAACAGGTGCAGCATGAACAGAGGTGTGGGGGTCAAAGGTTATCTGGAAGGCAGGACCTCCATCAGTTTACCTGAGCAGCAGCAGGTTCAGGTTCCTGATCGGTATCTGGGGTCGTTAGCATCGTTAGCATTGCTAGCATCACTAGCAGCGCTAGATAACAGGAGCTGCTTGGTCATGGCTGCTGATGCCCTTCCTCCATATTTGGTCCATGATGCCTTCAGGGTCCATCACTGACATGCTGATGATGTCATCAGCTGTATTGATCAGGGATATCTCTGCTGAGTCCAGGTTGGGATGAGATCGTGAGCAGCAGATAGGAACCGACTGTCCTGTTGGTCTGACTGGTTCCACTGGTTCTGGACCAGTTTACCAACACAGTCACAGAGGTGAATTTATTGGGCCTGACGGTTCTGTTTGCAGTTTGCACAAAAATCATTTATCACCTTTGTCAATTTTACATGTCATTACAAATACAAAGAAATACTTTAATCTCATAGGTGAAAATGGATCAACAGGATGTTTCCTTCTGGAGCCCACAGCAAAGTTACACAATAAAAAACTAATCATAATAATTTGGACATTCATTTCTAATCATAATCTTACCAAGTTATTTATTCACTTATAAATGTCACCGTTCAAAACTAAGCTTCAAATTAATATGTAGCTCCAAAGTAAATGACATAACTGATTTAGAC